TTTCCTAATATAAATTTAATTATGGTTTCTTTTTTTCTTCTTCAAATTGCCACCAAGAGACACACTTGAAGCATTGAACGTTTCTATTTAGGTCCTAACACCCTCAGGCAAAATAATTACTGACTTTGTATATCCAGAAGTTGGGAGATGTTGCACATGCCAAGGCCTCTAATTGGGCTGCGTTAGACTAAGAGGACTGTAATTATTTCCATCGTAGCGTTGCAAACCAAAGCCCACGACTAAACGCCATCTCAATGCATGCGCATGAATGTGTACTGATTAAATAAATAAAATAAACATGCCCGAGCACACGCACAGGTTTTTCTTTTTTTCTTTAAAATATCGTTCCATAAACAAACTCCACACACGTTTTCTATCCTCCTGAGATGCACCAGTCTCATTGGATTTAAGTGGAGAGCGAAATGAGGGAGGAAAGGGAATGAGTGTCATCATGTCATCTTTCATACTTGTATCAGAGCCCCCCCCCCCCCCTCCCCCAAAGGGGAGAAAAAACTTTTCTATTTAGTGGGTGTCTGTCACCTTTCTCCACTGAGAAGCGTTTAAGTGACAAGTATGAATTTCTCTTATATTCCATCCAGGTGTGGGAAAAGAGCTTTAATTTCGAAAGCGCGCGCGAAGGTTATCAGGCGGCTTTTTGTCCCGGAATGTGTGTGTGTGTGTGTGTGTGTGTGTGTGTGTGGGGGGGGGGTGTTATCCAACGGAGATTTCCACCCATGACTCCCCACAGGGTGAAGCAGAAAGTCACGGGAATCTCATCTGAGACATCGTGCTTTTCAGAAGGCGAATACTTTGACATTTCAGGCAAGAAAGCAAGCAGCGCTTTGCCCTCGGTCTGCTCAGCACACAGACATGACGACTGGAAGCATAGATGTACAAATCAGCTCCCTCCTTGCTTAACATTACATCGCTCCCCCCAAACCTAAACAAAGGCAAAGTCGTGGGTCCTCTACTGTTTCCTAAGCGCTTCTTCTGGCGACCCATTAACAGACAAAGTGAGAAAAGGAAATATGTACATTAATTATGTTCCAGATAAAAATCAATGTCAAAAAATGATCTTTATTTGATAAACTATCTATTAGGCACAGTTTGATAAATCACAGCTTTATTTTATTCAAGGGCAATTGAAAACATATGTGAAATACTTATACAAGAAAATACAATGAGGCCTAAATCCGCTGTGGTGTTTCTCAGCCTGGACACCATGGTTGGTGTTTGACTAATAGATGACCCTAACCTGGGAGGAACCCTACAGATTATCATCTGTGTACTCGACCATTTACTCTCCCAGGACTTGAGAACAAGATGCCTCCTGTTCGTTCCACAATCTTCTCAGGCGCTTATAATAACCATCTGTGTTGCATAGAGACACCTTGAGAAGATCCACATTGCATTGACTCCGTTCCCTGGAAATACTCAAGAACATTTCAGAAATTGTTGTCCCTGTTAGTCACACAAAGAAGCTCTCTGGGTAGACAAAGAAAAGCAGATTATTCAAGGATATTAATAATGATCAAGGAAGGTGTTGTGCTGCATTGAATTTAAATCGGTCACATATTCCTGCTGATAATCAGCCGGATTATGATTATTACAGATAAATGTGAATAGTTTAAAAACACAAATAAGTATTTTAACCAAAACTGGACCCATCCGCGGGTCCACTGTGTTCGGGCTGGATTCCTTTGTGAGTGTCTTCTCTGGCCTGCTGTGTCCTCAGGACTGGTACGAGCACGGCACTCCTGCCGTGTTCTGGGTGTCGGGGTTCTTCTTCACCCAGGCCTTCCTCACAGGCAGCCAGCAGAACTACGCCAGGAAGCACACCATCCCCATCGACCTGCTGGGCTTCGACTTCGAGGTCCTGGATGAGATGGAATACGAACGGCCTCCGGCGGACGGTAGGAATCTAAACAGGGGTAATGAGAAACGGGTGCTGCTAGAGAGAAGGGAGGTTGGTGTTAGAATAGCTTCTGGTAGGATGAAACGGCCCCCACTGACTCCCCATCCAACAACTTAATGAAGGTGGAGAAAAGAAGGCGGGAGGATGGAGAGCGCTGGAGGAGGAGAGATGAAAGGGTACAAGGGGATGAGGAGGGAGGTTTCAGAGGATGAAATGAGGAAACAAACAGATGGAAACCGATGTGTAAAAGGGTAAAGTCAGCCTCCCCCCGCCGCCTCGCACACGCGCCGCCTCGTGTCAGCCCCTCGCTGCGCCGACACCTCTGATGTGAGATTCTAAGTCACTTAAAACCTCTGCCTCAATCAGCCCCCAGCTGGGGCCCCATCACGCCCTCACAGCCCGCGCTGCCGAGCTGCAAATCCGACACAGTCCGTTATCTCCAAAATCGCACTTTTCCCTTCTCAGAGTTTCAAAATGACAGTAACACCACCCGTCCCTTTGTGTGTCTCCCAGGTGTGTACATCAGAGGTCTGTTTCTGGACGGCGCCCGCTGGGAAAGGAAGACCAAGCTTCTTGCGGAGTCCTTCCCCAAAGTGCTGCACGACCCCATGCCTGTGGTGAGGGGGGGGGGGCACACTTTGTCTCACTGAATTTATCCAAAAGGGACACAGACAGTTAAGTTGTAAAACCCTCAGCGTAAATCAAATTAACGGTGATGTGTGATTGGATGGTTCTTATTGAAATGCACCCAGGGAGTCGCAGTCAAGCCTCCCTTTAGTTTTTATGTGAACACACGTGTCCAGTTGACTTTTGATCAAAAGAAGCAGATTACCGTTTAGTAGTAGATAGTAAAGCTCACGGTGTGTTTTCCACTTTTGATGCCGTTTTCATATCATTAAGAACGTTTGGTGTGTTTCGTTGGCAGCTTGGTTTACTGACAGACAGAAGTGACACGACAGGGAGGAGCCGAGTACGACCGAGCGCTGAATCCTTAGAACGTTTGAACAATTTACCGTCATGAGCTGAAAACACAAGACAACTCCCAGACCAAACAACGGCGCGGTAACGCGACCCGCCATCACAAGGTCGCCACGTCAAAAAGTACAACCTGCTTTTCACTCCAAGCGACCCATAATTTACTAAGTGAAATCTTGCTGTATTGAAGACTTAAAACTAGAGATGGAGACCAAAAACCTGTGTTTACAACGATTACTGAGGTAATAAAAGTCCGTTTCTCATAGACTTCTATACAATTAGACTTTTTTTTTTACAGCCGTGTGAGTCGCCCCCGTGATGGGCATTAGAAAGAATACAAGTTTAACACACTTCCTCATCAGCTTAACTTTTCACAGCCCGAGGTTTCTATCCTGGGAAAGAACACTCCCTTCACCGAGAGAAAGAAATCGTGTTACGTAACGTAATCTTACATAACGTTTGAGGGGGTTTATTGATTCTTCCCCTGTGAATATCTCCGAGCGTCCCAAGAGAAGAAAGATAATATGTGTTTACGTATCAAATTATAAAAATGCTGCAGATTCTGTCATTATTTAGCTTGTAAACCCCCTACGAGCCGACTGTTTTTAGTTTTTTTTTTTAATCAGAGGCCAGTGTTGTCTCTCTGAGGAGAACACGAACAACAAGCAGCAGGCGGGAGCTGCAGCTCCACCCTGGAGGATGTTCACAGCGCCTTGTTCTCTGGATGCAACAGCGAGCGGCAGCTTCAGCACTTTCTTTTGTACGCCGCGCCTGCAGGAAGCCGAGCGCCTTTGCTCATCCCTTTATTAATTAACAGGGCTTGATATGGTTTATGAAAGCAGGCCGACGCGGTGATGGAACAGAGCGCCAGTGGCAAAGAGCGAGGAATGATCAAGTTTGCCTTCTTCTCCTCTCTCCCTCACAATGCATGCTGGGATTAGGAGTAATGCTTTTTTTAAATATTGAGACATTTCAGGGCAAGTTATTAACAGAAAAAAGGTTTTTTTACAAGAGCGGAATTTAATTGAAAATATGCTTATTTTATGTGGGGGGAGAAAAAAAAGTAATCACAACAAAGGCCGCTTTGAAATGCAAATCTTCGCAGAAGAGCGGTTTGAGTGCTCGTCTGGCTGCAACTCAACAGACTGTTTTTGTTTTTTGAGCGCCCCAGTTTATCCTTTTGCATAACCAAAGGCTTCCTAATGGCCTAAGGGGACTTTTACTTCTGCATGCCATTGTTTTAGAAGTGCCCAGAGTTTCAAGTCCTGACCTTTTGAACCAGAAATACAATCTGACCTCTGTGTCCCCCACGATGCAGCGGTCAGATCCTCAAGACTGTTCAAATCAAAGTCATCTCGCAGGAGAGGCTAACTGGTGTTAGTCGAACAGCTCCTGAATGACGGAGACTATTTGTCAGCTCATGGAGGTAGAATCCGGTTTCAACTGCCAAACCTCTCTGTCTCCCGTCAGATGTGGCTGAAGCCTCTCAAACGACAGGACATCCCCCAGAGGATGTGCTACGTGGTGCCGGTCTACAAGACCAGCGAGCGGCGGGGCACCCTGTCCACCACCGGCCACTCCACCAACTACGTCATCGCCATGACGCTCAACTCAGACGTGCCGGCTGAACACTGGATCAGAAGAGGGGTGGCGCTGCTCTGCCAGCTCAGCTCCTAGTGGATGTATGCATGTGTGTACGTGTATCTACCAATGAGATATGACTCTGGTACGTAGTATTTAGGATTAGCCCAGAGAGCAGCTTAGAGAATCGAATCTGCACAGGAGGATAGAAAAGGCATTCGATGTTGTTTAACTGGCCACAAAGGGTGAGTCTTTGTTTCAGTGAGCACACCAGCCTACGTTGTCATTTTTTCCCCCTTGAAGCAAAAAAAATAAACATTACTGTACAGTGTGAGCGAATGAGTTAAGTTACCAATAATAATGTTTGCGCTTGACTTAAAAGCTGACGGGAGAAATTCTCAGCCGCGGCTTCCTGCTGTTTAGTTTCTTTGCATTTATGTGAGCTAAACCTGCTGATCTGGGAACCGAAGCTGCAGCAGTGAGAGACGTCCTGATATGCTCTCTGTAACATCACACCAGAAACATCACATATCTATTCATCAGTTTATTTCCTTCCGTGATGGGGCGAATGCACAGACAGCGAGAATGTAACACAGCATTTTATATCCAGAATACTAAATAAACATACAAAAAAGATAAAATGAAAACTATCATTAACCTTCATTTTACAGGCATTGTTTTACCCAATAAACACGCTTTGGGGGCGTAGTGTCACCAGCTAACCGTAAACTCGTTAGTACAGTTTGGATTTTAGATTCACAGGAAATAAAGAAGCAATCAGAATCGGAAAAGGGAATATCTCTTAAATATATCTATATCAAATAATCATGTTTCCAATTATGAACTTTGCTTGGTGTCGGAACAGATGGAAGTTCATTCAGATTAAATAATAAAATGCTGGTCAAAAAATCAGTGAAGCAGAAAAGTTGTGCGCTCCCTCTTCTGCATCAACACTACTACTACCAGCGGTCGCACTACGCCCCAAACATCTCGGCATCTTCACGCGACTCTACTTAAGAAGTAACAAAGGCTTCTGATGGGTCGACAAAGAACCAAATCAAGCGTACACTCAACACAACGTCTGTACCGTTTCTTCACGACGAGACTTCCGTGTGACCGCCGACGGTTTAACGCCAGTTGAGACTTAAGATGATGGACGTCACACAGTGACAGGATAGATGAAGCCACATTTACGTCATGCTCTAGCAGCTGAGGCCAGGTTAGCTCGCTTAAGGACAGCCAATGGAATGTAAGGGGGGGGGGGGAGAGCGATGTGAGGGGGGCGGTCCCTCTTATAACGTCCTCCGGCTTAATAACTCCCGTGCTCAGTAAACGGTTCCCATGTGAAACGAGAGAAGCGGGCGCCGTTTCACCCCTCTCGCGATTGTCAGGAAGTTCATTTATTGACAGTACTTTCAAATCGATTTTTAAGCGGCGGCAAAACAGCGATTTTTGCTGCCCGACTACTGAAGGTGTAGTGATCAAGTATTTACAGTTCGCCGTAAAAAAAAGGAGTCTGAATTAGTGCGACGACTAGTCCGCCTTACGGGAGGAAATGTCCGCGGTGCTCTGATTGGAATACGCACCTCAGACACACCTGAAATAAAGCTCGCAAACTACAACAGTTTGTCTGAATTCACATTTTGAAGCTGCTGATTCTTATAAAGAAAAAAGGTACAACGGCGACAGATTGTCAAACCCTTAAACTAAAATTGGTCGGACACTTCGAAGTCTAGTTACTTAAACCAAAACATGGAAAGTGTTTAAATGCTAACTAGCAACGGCTTCAGCAGGTGTGTTAACTATCACGAGGAGCTACATCCAGTTAGACAATAAAACTCTAAAAAGGCGTAGATGGAGAGAAATTAAAGCAAGAAAAGAAAATCACTGAGCCTTTTAAATGTTCTACAATGAAAGGCCAGGGGAACACCGTCGCTACATTTTCAATGTGAGTCTAAGCGGTTGATCCGGGACGCAGCGGCGGTGGCCGGGCCTCGCCACAGAGAACCGCGCCGTGGCGGGACACAGGATGGATACGACAAGAGGGAGGTGAGGGGGGGCGACGACGACACAGCGTACAACAGGCGGTGGTGATGATGATGATGATGATGATGATGCATAGGCGGCGAGCTGCCGGGTCGTGACAGGAACGCCACCTTCCTGTTTTCTTCTTCTTTTTTTCTTAGATGGATCTTAGTGGCAGAGGCGGCGTATCCGCATGCGGCCTCGCTCTCCTTTTCCGGGCCGGCGCCGGCGTTGGACGTGTGGGGGAGGGGCAGAGTCATGAGATATGCGCCAGCTTACCGCCGCATGTTTTGGAATGGAGGAGACCCTCACCGCATGCGAGACCGGGCCGCTGTGTTTCCATGGAAGTACGTTAAGGCCAAGGAGGACCAGAGCCGATCGGCGTCGGGCTCTCCCTCCCTTCCACCCCGCACCCTCCGCCCTCGACTAAAAGTTAAAATTGAAAACGATGCGGTCCTCAAAGATGGCGATGAGCAGCATGATGGCGAACCCGGTCAGCATGCCCAGGTTCTGCAGGACAAAGTGTCCCAGCTGGCAACGCTTGTGGTCCTCACTGTCCCCGTGGAGCATTTCTGGCAGCTGTGAAAGAGACAAAGGGGTCAGGTGATCCGGGTCAGAGTCAGGGGAGGGGCTTCGATACGAGCGCGCCAACTTACCATATCCACCAGCGCCACGTACAGGAACATGCCGGCCGTGATGGCGAAGATCCAGTTGGTGACGTTGTGCGTGTACTGGCCCACGGCGGTGCCAATCACCATGCCAACGTAGGCCATGAGGGCGGACAGCAGGTTGTAGAAGATGGCCTGCTTCACCGACATCCCGGCTTTCAGCAGCACCGCAAAGTCACCTGTCACACACACACACACGTTTAAACACCAGCAGAGCACCACCCATCCACCGGCCTCTTCTTCTGACACAAGTTGTTCACGAAAGGTTCAAAGCAGCAGATAAGTGGACGCCCACGTGCCCTCTTCGGGCGTGGCGCAGTGCGGGACGGGGCCCGAGCCTCAGCGGAAACGCCGTGGATCTGGAGAGCGAGATGAATGCTGAGAAGACGGTGGCCTACATTTCCCATCGTGTAACGAGCGGCCTATTTTCCTTGCTAATTACCTCAATGAATATATTACCACCCGGCTCTCATCTGTCAATCAAACCCGCGGAATTTCTTTCCTTTTTTTTTAAACTGGAGGGAAGGGGAGAAATGAGAGGCAGACCGACCCCCCCCCCCCCCACACACACACACACACCAAAGTTCAGTGGAGTTCTTTGTGGTTCTTACTTTGCCGTTTCCTGCCCCCCCCCATGGTTTCAATCCATCCAACAGTCAGACACACACGTCGTCACCTCATCTGCCGCAATTAACAACCCATCACTGCCAATTAGCTTCACTCCGGGTGGTTAAAGAACCCACATAATCATCAGCTTTGCCATCCAGCTGCCTGGCGGGCGGGCGGGGGGGCGGGGGGGCTTTGTGTTGTGGAGGAACTCCGAGGTGCACTTGTCAGACTGCTGGCTTCGTCTGACGGGCCCTACGGGGGTGAAGTGCTGCTGAAGAGCGGGCGTGGAGACAACATGAAATGTGTGGGGGGGGGCAGAGACGAGATTGATCTCGCAAATCTTCACGTGCCGCTTGAGACGGCAGTCAGCCACGTGGAAACGCGAGTGCGACGGAGTCAAAACGGAGACAACAAAAAAACAACAACGGCCGGACCCGGATGTATACGCTCGCGCGTTCGATCCCGAAGCCGGTTAACACAGCAACAAGAGCCCCTCCCCACGTGGATGTTTGTAACAGAGGCAGAGGCCCCCTGAACACGATGCTACGAGCGGGGATGCTACGAGGGGGAGGAGTCAGAAGCGTTGCACTAACGAGCCGCGCCGCGAACACACAGGCGGAGGAGGAAACAAAAAAATAAATAAATAAATAAAGCGCCACTCTAAAACTAAACTAAAATGCCGGGTCAAACTGAATCGAATGGTTCCTCTGAGGAAATGTTTGAGCCCGACCGCAGTGAACCAGGCGTGCCAGCCACGGTCCACCGGCCCGGCTGACGGACGCGCTGACGGGCCATTTCGCCCGCCGTCACGGGAGAAAAGCCATTAAATCAGCAGGAGAAGTACGTTTTCCTGGAGTGAGAGGAGTGACGTTTATTGACACCGCACAGGTTTTAACAAGCTACCGAGGGACCAAAGACGGCGCCAGCCTCCTTCTGATTACAGTTTCAGTGGAAGTAAGAAGAGAAGGGCAGCGATTTAGACGCATCATTATGAGCCAACCTGTCTTTGTTGTACTTGTTGAATAAATGAGGCGTTGGAACGAGAAAATGACCCGTTTGGTTGTGCTCTCCACTTACCGAGTTCGTGAGGTAATTCGTGGCAGAAAACAGCCACAGATGTACTGATGCCCCCCGTCAGGTTTGCACTGAATGCCGCGCCTGCAGAGACAACAAGGTAAAGGGGGAGGGAATTAGACCCGTTCTCTGAGGAGCTGAGAAGATACAGCTAGCGCCTATTAGCTTAGCATAAAGAGTCTCCGCAGACACTGAAACCGGCTTCGATAGAACCTCCCACCTATAGCCAGGCCGTCGCTGAAGTTATGCATGCCGTCGCCCATGATGACCATCCAGGCGATGCTGGCTATGCCGGCGTCCTTCATCTCCTGGTCGGAGTGGCAGTTCCCCCCGTGGGAGTGGCCGTGGCCGTGCGAGTGCCCCCCGCGGTGCTTGGCCTTGCCTCCGTTCTCCTTGCCGGGCGACTGGTGCTCTTGGAGGACGTTCGCCGGCGCCAGCGGCGTCTTGTGGGTGGGAGAGTCGGGCGGCCGAAGCTCCGAGAGCTGCGTGTCGTTGTGACCGTTGTCGCAGGACACGGCGCTGCTGTCGGGGTCTGGGGGGGGGGCGGAGGAGGAGAGAGGTTATTGCTCGACAGAGCGCCGCTAAGAAGCCGGCGAAGGGGCCGGCGAAGGGGCCGACGGCGCGCTCCTCACCTCCCCCGAGGGGCTTCAGGTGCAGCCACTCCGCGTCCGAGCGCCGGTTCAACTTGTGATCGGACAGCTTCCTGCCGATCTTGCCCCCCTCGTTCGCCTTCTTCATGCCCTGTGAAGCAGCACCGGGAGGTCAATACGCGCCAAGCGCTGCCGTGTCGGCCGAGTCGGCGGCGCGCGGCCTCCCCTCTCACCCGGTGGTCCTTGTAGTGCTTGAACATGCCGATGCAGTGCTCGATGATGAAGAGGAGGTAGATGCCGGCCAGCGCCGTCAGGCCCTTCCAAACCCCGTCAAAGTCCTCCACCATATCGACCTCCTTCCCCGTCCCGCGCTCGCCGTGGTTGTGCGGCCCTTGAGACTGTGCCACAGGAGGGGGAACGGAGAGGGAGGGGTCACGCAGGAGAGCGAGGCTGATTAATTGAATGTTGCCCTCGTGCCACCTTATACATTCACGTCATTTCAGATCTTAGAGTGCAATAATCATTTTGCCTGGCCGGCGCACACGCGGTACTCACGTGGGGCAGCAGGTGCAGGAGGGCGTCGCCGCTGAGCGTGCCCACCGCCAGCGCCACCAGGAAGGTGAGCAGGAACTTGAAGCAGGACTGTTTGAGGATGGGCACGAGCACCACGCCCAGCAGAGACAGCAGGCTGATGATGGTGATGGACACGAACCCCCACAGCCACACCCACCCTGGAGACGGAGACAGAGACGAGTCACTTCCTCGCTTCCTCTGCAAGGAGCCGCAGCGCTTTTTGCTTAATTGTCCGTCCGTAAAAAGGACAGCGACGGCAGTGGTTCCCGTCCACTTAGCACGTGAAGGAGACTATCCTTCAGAGGGGGAGGGACACCGGCGTGTCCTTGCAATGACACATGATACCTAGAGCAAGAAACGCGAAGCGACATTTGGGCTCGCCTCATTTTTCATTCAGGGGCCACGGAGTCAGAAAGGTACACGATCACTTAATCTGTCAGGCGAGGACGCGCATCAGAAGGGTGCGAGACGGCGTGAGGCAGGACGAAATGTTTAATGTCCTATGAAATTCAATGTCACATCGAAGCCGGCGGCGTGCTCGCTAAAGCGACGGCGGGTCCCCGTTGGTTTATAGGACCCGAGCGCATCGTACAGACGGTCGACTTCTGCGGGAGGATTGAGCGGGAAAGTCACAGCAGGCTGTACGTTCGCAGAGGGAAGCTAAAGCAAGTACGCCGCCCTCACCAGTTGATATAATAAGCTGTTATTCATGATTAAAACTGTGTGACCAGTTCATTATACTTGAATCTAATCGGTGGAAAGTTACAGTTAATCTCTTGAGTAATTTATCATGGATCGTAAATAAATAATTATTGGTCGATATACTCGTCCTTGTTTTAGACCCATGCGTTTGTGGTGCACAGTGAGCCGCCTGGGTCACATGGTCAAATTGGAATTAGTAGAACTTTTGGGTCCAACTCTGCTGAGAGGTGAAGGGAAGCCCAATGGAAGTGAAGGGACACGCGGGCCCCAGACAAATGGTTCTAGGTGCCCCCTCCCTCGTTCATAAACAACTACCCCCCCCTCTACGTTCTTTAATAGGCTTGTTCTTACGTTTAGTAACCGCATCCATATGATGTCATTGTGTGCAATGACTGATCCTTTGTTTCACAACCACATTCTGTTGTCACAGGGAAGATTCAACCGTAGTTTAACAGGCGAACCCCCCCCCCCCCTTTAAACTACTGAGCCTGATATAGCTTAATTCATCTAAACAAAAGAAGCAAAGCTGCCATCTAGCCGGAGGGGAGAAATGACTCCAAACATTAGAATCCCAGTGGCAGACACACTTCCTCTCCTCATCTAATCGGCCCCAGGTGGTGTTGCTTGTGAAGAGATGATCTGAAAAATGTCGTATGGCTGAATGAGTAGTCTTTAGAGGGGCTGGATCAAGCTGTTACTGTCCCATTACCCAGCTGTAGGATTAAAAAACATTGCAAAAAAAACCTCAGTCTCCCCTCTGGCAGCCGTCTCCTCACTCCAAACAGGAGGCTGGAGTTCCCTCCAGGGGGGAGATTTGACTGAAGAGGAAGGCCCCGATGCTTCTGTGCCGATTACAGCCACTTCCTCATAAGATCGGGGGAAGTTTGCTACTTGAATCGTTATTACAGGTTTACACGCGTCCTCTGAGGCCACGATGGAAGACGTGGTTGCGTTTGGCATTTTGATGATGGCGTTTGTCGCCATGACTGTTGAGTACTTCGGAGGTGCACCTCAGGCCGGGTGTCACAGTAGTTCCAGACGTAGACAGTATGCCAGATACGTCAAACTCAGCACCAGAGTTAATGAGTAAAAATAAAGAGAATAACGTGTTTTGATGTGGGGGTGAACTGCTCCTTTAAGGCTCGAGACCCCTTGAGTGAAAACACAGCCGAGCAGCGAACTCATTCAGAACTCTTAGAAGCCATCAGCTAGATTTACCTTTTCTATTAACAACAGAACTTTCTTAAAGTGTTTTTTTGTCCTTGGGGAAGTCAACCTGACTCTCGTTGGAAACCATTTGGAAAAGAGCAGCCACGCTGATTCAATAACCAACTTGTCACTCAAACTACATTTTGATCATGTGATTGTTGCGTTAATGAGTCCCGCTGCCTTACAGGGTACGGAACGCAGAGGCTGGATGAGAATTGGACCACGGTCATTGTGACATCATCCATGAGTTTGTGCACTAACAATTTGGCATTTTGTTGGTGACAAGAAATGATGAAGTGAATGTTGAGATTTCTAGGTGAACAAAATGTTTCAATAACTATCTTTCATGAACCTGTTTCACACGGTTGAAACAGTCGAGACAAATATGCGGGCAGCTCTCGGACTGGATAATGCCGCGGTAACGACCCATCACTCACAAGATAGCCCCGCCCTAAACCATATCATGCGGTTTGGTCTATTTTACTGTAACTAGGACCATAATTGTCCTGGTACTGGTAAGGAACATTGAATGCAACACATGGGTGGGTTAACAACATGCAACAAAAGTAGTTATCCAAGCTGGGTTTGTATTTTTTAGATTACATTTGCAGTATCGGACATTTATCAAGGTTAGCAAAGGCTTTGTATTTTTAAAACAAGAGCATTCATTTCTTCTTAGAAATCATAAAAAGTGTTTGCAAATGTTTGGGGCATTTATCGTAGCATTACTGCTATTATCCTGTTTTGCCTAGAGGATGTTTTCGGTTTTCTTTTCTACCAATGAGCAGTATTTATATCTAATACGTGCATTAATTAGGTTTTAGCATGATAAAATAACAGAAGTCCCGATCAGCCAAACATTTTTCAGACCACATTTTGCAGCCGTTTATTGTTAGGAGGGGCAACCGGGACACGATGAATCCATTTCCTCATCGCAGACGCAAACGTCTTCGTTCTATTGCTGCCACACTGTTCTCAATGCGCCGGACGAAAGTCACAAGGCGCCACGGCAGAGCGCTTCCTTATTTGCCGAAATCGTGCGGAGCAACGCACACCGACCGGACCCCCGGAGGGTCCTCTGCGCTCACACAGCTCATCTACCGCTCTATCTCATTACGCTCACGCCGGCCCGCTTCTGTGTGCGCACGTGGAGGAAGGCCGGTGGGGGCGCGGCGACGACGGAAAAGAAGAGAAGGACTGGGAGACCCACTGGTCCGCGTCCAATTACGCATCTCCTCTGGGCCGCAGCTTGGGAAAGGAACGGCCCTCGGTGTTGCTCAGCTCTCCTAATTGGCACGGTGCAAAAAAAATATATATATATATAAATATATATATATCGAGGGGTGTGGGGACCGGAGAGAAAACTCTGCTGCAAATTTCCCGAGCTCCCCCGTGGATGCTGGCGGGAGGTAAACGAGAGGTAGCTTCTCGGTGCGCAATTGCGCCCCGTGTTTGACTCGCGGTGTGCAAATTGCAGAAAATGGAGCGGCTCTAGTTGGCCGCTAATGAGGAGCCGCCGCTGCCCTTCTGACTCGTTCGTGTGGAGTTGCTCGTCGTCATTACCATTTTTATGACTGTTTTCAGTGGCGGCGCGCTGCTGCCCGAGGCACGCGCGGTACAGGTGTCTCCGGAGGGAAGTGTGTGTTGAATAATTAAAGATTATCAGATCCTCCAATGTCTCTGTTAAACTCAAGTAATTGCTGTCTGGACAGTTTAATTCAGTCCTTAAGTCTTCACAAAAACTCTTACATGCAGCCACACACACATATATATATATATATATATATATATATATATATGTGTGTAAAGATACATCTGTATACGGCCATAAAAATGTGGCTTCCAACTTTGATTAGAAATGAATCAGGTTGTGCAGATCATCCGGTGCACTTCCTTCCTACACTGCAAACTAAAGTGGAATTACAGCGTAACAACGAACAAGAGAAGACGTTCCGGCGTGAAGGCAGCCTGCTGGGATTGACGGTCTCACAGTGCAGAGATTTACATATCGGATTCACTCTTGTTCTATCCTTTGTGTTTTTGGTGTGCAGAAGATCACGGCCCCATGTCTGATTTACAGCCGCTTTTGTATATTGTAGATCCATAATCTACAATCTTTATTCCCCAACCTGTAGCTCATTATTTCAAATAAACTCTGCCGTTTTCTTTTTTACATTCCCATAAACTGCGAGGTGGCGGAGCAGGTTTTTACGCTGACCTTTGCTCTTTACAGCTGCTGCGGTTTCTTAAACATCATTCTTCTCAACAGTTGCTCGCGTGCGAGAAAGAGGTCTCGTTTAAAAACAGGAGAGGCGGTTGTAGTCGTCGTAGTTTCATGCACACGACAAGGCCGCTTGTTTGCTGCAATTATCTAATAACACGGGACACAAGTTCATAGACAGTGCTGCAGTAAAGGGAGTCAATGACAAACTGGCCACCTGTTCGTTTGAACGCAAACATCCTCCCAGTGAATATTGCCCATCACAGCTCACAAACTGCTCTGCGCTCTGCTCACTGGGAACCAATCAATTCACAATGAGACTAAGTACCTCCTGCATCCGCAATCACACGTAGCGTTAAATATGGCCAACGACTTTTCTCCCCTTCATCGGGAGTCTGACGGAGGAGCGATCGCCCCGCCCACAACCCAAAGGTCGCGGAAGGTCGTACGTGGTCCTGGCTGCCGGAAAGCAGGAGAGTTGGTCACGTTTTAAAGCCGTTTCCACAGCGCACGCGTGGCCCGGTTACGTCAGACCTCCCAGAGGAACAACGTGAGACAAAGGCGTCTGTCTAGATAAGTCCGTGGTAGTTACTCAACAAAGATCAAAGAGCACGGTTAACAACCGGCTGGAGGAAACGCTCTTATCATGAGACGTGGTGGAGTCCGACGGCCTCACATCCCAAAGTCATCAGACAGTCTTCCCCTGTAATAAAAGGTCAACGGCGCCTTGGTGTGGTAGAAATGCAACAGGATTCCGATGTGACCGGGTCTCAAATGCCTTAAACAAGCTTGAATCGACTTTCAATATACTGTGCGTGTCTTTTAAACTAATGTCAGCGTGCACGTTACGCTTTGGTGAGTGTTCACTGCAACGCTGGCAGGCAGAAAATAAGAACTACTGAAACATAGAAGAAGGGATTCTTGTTTATATATATAATATATATCGCTTTGTAAGAGAGTTATTTGTTCTTGCTGATGCTTTAAGTGCACTTTACTCTGTATACTGTGATACAAACATGGGAAACACTGTCCCAGCTTCCCGTGATGATGAGATCTCTTTTCCCTCACTTGGTTCTGATGAGGAAACTGTGACCTGCAGTTAACGAACATGCCGGTGGATTGTTTTCCAAATGTGATTACGCACTGATGGGTTTAAAAAGGAACTGTTACTTTATCCATTGTGCAAACAAAGCTCATTGTTTGGCCACAACATCAGTGAGGAGATGACAACATTCTGGCAATATCTTATCATTTGTGTCTCTTTGCTCTGTGGACAGCTATTGATCGTTAATAGCCATGTGAGGTGTGAAAAAAAAAAAAAAAAGCTGAGAGGAGAATGCTGAGCAGTGCTTTGCAGCCCAAACTCACGGCAGCGCAGCTTCAGATTCATTCATGACGGAAACAGGCGTGAAATAATGATGCAAACATCTGAAGAAAAGTGGGCCGATGCTGGAAGGCAATTCATTGAAAGCAGAACAGTGCTCGAGGCGACTGCTACTAATGTTCCTGCACATTCTCACTGTGACACACGGACGGACAGAGGGTCCGGTCTGCTGCTCAGAGCCTTGTTTGGGTGGAAACTCTTACCGGGCGCAAAGACTTTCTGCTGCTCAGCCATCTGGTGGAAATGGCGGATGCAGACGCGGCTGTCTATCTGGTAGAGCAGGGCGGGACACAGGTAGGTGAACTGGCTGGGGGAGATGAGCGAGTCGGGGTTGAGGCCGTAGTACGTGAGGAGCTGAGTCAGGTTCAAACACTGGAGGGAGGAAAGGAGACGGAACAGGATGAACATGAGAAACCATTGGAAAATAATTTCATTAAAATACACATTTAAAAAGCCTTTAAAAAGGGACATGTGGAGGCAAGAAAAACGGACTGAGTGGGACAAGTCCTACCTCCTTGTGCTGATGAGGCATTCCTTCCAGGTGGCCGGACGGGACGGGCACTGGCAAAGTCGGGGGGGTGTCGCGCCCTCCGGGGGCTTCTCTCTTTTTGTGAGAATGCCCGTGACCGTGGTCGTGACCGTGGTCGTGGTCGTGACCGGGATGCTGGTCCTCATCCTTGGACTGTGGTAGCGGAACAGACGGCGTTCCGTTCTGCCCTCGCTGTCCTCGGGTCCGGGACGGGTTTCTCGTCTTCTTGGGCCGACTTTCTGTGGTGGCGGGGGAGGACCGCTGCGCCGGGGGGACTCGGGACGGCTTCAACTGCGGAGAGGGAGGAACTTCTGTGACCGGTAGCACCCCGGGGGTGTGGTCATTGTGGGCGTGGTCGTCATGATCGCCGTGGTCATGGGCGTGGTCTGCGTGGTCGTGATCGACGTGGGCGTGGTCATGATCGCCGTGGTCATGGGCGTGGTCGTGATCGGCGTGGTCTGCGCGGTCATGGGCGTGGTCTGCGTGGTCGTGATCGACGTGGGCGTGGTCATGATCGACGTGGTCGTGATCGACGTGGGCGTGGTCATGATCGACGTGGTCGTGGTCGTGATCGACGTGGTCGTGATCGACGTGGTCGTGGCCCTTCTGCGCTCCGCCGCCGGGACTGGCAGCGGTGGTGTGCTGGGAACGGACGGTGGCGTGCGGCTGGTGGGCGCCGGCCTTGTGGTGCGGATGGCCGTGCCGGTGACCCTGGCCGACCTCCTCGTTGGCGGACGAGTGCGAGTGAAGCCCCTCCTGCACGTCCACCAGGTCGAGGTGGGCCACGTGGTCGTGGCCCAGCTCCTCGTGGTCCACGTCGACCACCTTGACTTCGCCCAGGCCCAGGCTGAACAGCAGGCTCTGGAAGCCCTGGAAGTCCAGCCGGTCCTTCTGGCCGTAGCGGCTGAACAGCTCCTGGATGTAGAAGCGCTGCTCCTCCTCTAGAGACTCCCCGTGAGGAGGGGCCGCCCTCACGTACGGGGCCTCGGAGATCTGCAGGTCGCTGTGGGTGTTGTCGGCATGGGGATGTCCGCCGTGCATGTGGTTGTGCCCGTCTCCATGGCAGCGGTTGCACTGATGGAAGAGGAAGGTGAGCACGCACAGGAAACAAAACTTGGTGTGCACGTGGACTCGCATGGTCCCCTTGCTTCTGGTCCCCTGCAAAGACAAGGAAGGGAAGCAGAATGTGTATCACATTTCTTCTTCCTGTCATGTATTTAGAATTACGAAAACAGCTTAAGAAACTAGGTTAACTAGTCTCACCAAGTGTGAGACTGGATGATCATTCTAAAATGCTCTCGATTTCATGAATGAAACAATTCACGTCTTGTAGTTTGTGTGTCCTTGGATTCACAGTCTGAGGAGCAGCATCGTGCCCCGTCTGTCCTCGCCGAGTTTAGTTAGTTTGATGATAACCACAACTTTACCTCTAATCCTGTTTGTTGGTTTATCAGCTGAGTGGGACAGTTCAAATGTCAGTCCTATAATCTGACAGCTCAAAATGCTTTGCTGGCTGAAATATCTGCACATTGAAAGTTGGAAAGAAATAGTTCCTCACATTGATAAACAGAACACTGTAAAACAACTGTCAAATTAAATTAAATTAAAAGGAAAGTCAGTACGGTTACATTATATTCTGACGCGTTTAATTTGGATTTAGTGAAAGTCAACTGAAACGATCATGGATAAAATATTTGATGTACTCTTTTGTTGTGTGTGTAGATTAATCATTACGATGTCACTTTACCGCGTCAATAAAACAAAGAGCCTCCTTAGCACAGTGCAACCGAGTCTAGATTAGGTTCCTCATAATCATAAATTACACACACAAAATGATCCAAGGCGATAACCGTGCACACCACACACAAACACTGCAGACAAACCCCTTAAGCTGCTCACATTAGCTTAGCATAACACAACTCGTAACCCAATCAGGGAGCCGTTCAGAGCCGGCGCTCTGCGGTGAGCTGTGTAACAAATAGCTGGTTCTCCCCCACCGCGACTCGCAAAAAGCCTGAAGCGGCAATATCACCGAGTCAAATGATCCTCATAAGTTCTCTTGCGAGGCTCCGGGGGTTGGTTGATGCGTTGGGGGGGGTGGGGGGGGTGATTGTGGAGGAGGAGGAGGAGCACGGAGGGGTCAGGACGAGGTGGATAATGGGCAAAAGAGAGCAGAGTCCCTTTGGCAGGCGGCTTGTTAGCGAACACTGGATGTACGGCGCGGCGTCTCGGGGGAACAGACTTGTGTTGAGCATGAGGCTGAATGTTAGGAACATCTCTGATTTGTTTCTCACAGGTGTCATGTCACAACGTGCAGTAATAGGACCCCAGAATATCGATACTGGTTTCTTTTTATACACCAACTTAGAAGCGAGGAATTTAGAAACTAACTAACGCGTTGCAGGTCACTTAAAAAACAAACAAATAAAACATCACGCAGCAACGACATCTCAAATCGGCTGTTCCTTTTTTTTTTGTCTGTGGGAAAATAAACCCGCAACAATCCGCTGATTTAAAAGGATCAACCCGACGGTGTTGTGATCTAGAGTTTGTATGGCTCCCACTCAACACGTGCACAAAGAACACCATTGAAAAAGCCCTTGTTAATTCCATCAAGCCCTGATCAAGGTCTAGACGACTTCAACATCTTATCATCCAACGACCACCTCCGTCTCCCCATATAACGTGTGCAGGAGCGCTCTGTCAGCAGTATTCACGTAAAGTCGGAATGAATCCAACGCTTCTTGTTGAGCTGTCACTGACGCGTCTTCACGAACCACACGAAACTTCAAAGAGGCCGTCGACAAATCAAATACAGAAAAAAAAAAAGAAGGAGAAAGAAAACGCGGCGAATAAAAGCTGCACCTCCTGTTCAGAGGTTTCCGCCCAGAAGCTGGAAGCGCGGCTACTTACCGCTGTGTGAAGAGAAGTTTGGCCACGGAGTGAAGGATGGCGCCCTGCAGACTTCACGGCTGTCTGCTAGACACTGTTTATAAACATGAGGCTGCAGTGACCTATGAACCTTCCAGCAGGAGGGGGGGGGGGCATATTTCTAAGAGCACACCCCCTGGGCAGCAACAGAGCCGGCTGTGTGATCCTGATTGGAGTCTTTTGTTGTGCTTGTTGTTTGGAGGAAACAAGATCATGTCTATTTAGTGGGAGAGTTCAATCGAGTGCTACAGAGGCCCCCAACTACTCCGTAACCATGACAAGTTTCCTCTTGCAGTGAAAGCGTGACCGCCCCCCCACCCGCACTAAATGGAGAATTAAATATCACCTTGTATGACTTCATACTAGAATAAATGGGCACTCGTTGGTTCGCTCAGCCGCTTCGGGTCAACAAACACAAGTAAATAATCCCGTCACACGGTAACTCACCGTTAAGACGTCTCCGCCTGCGTGGCCCCCCAGTCCAGGCGCTACTGTGTGAGGGGTCGGGGGGCAGGAGGGGAGGGGGGGAGGGGGTTCCAACTCTTCTGAACCGTGCACTCTGGAAAATATAAAGATGGACAGACGGGTGAATTTAGGAATCACCCGAAAAACAGTCGTTCCTCCCGAGCGTTGCTGGACCGTCAACGGCTCCTTTTGAAAAACCAAATCAATCCAACTAAACTCAACACGTGTACCACAGCCACCATGAGGATGACTAGTTCATCAGGTGATGTTCCCATCCAGAGGGGAAACGGGCAGATTGATGCAGCTACGCCAGGTGCATTCTGGGAGTTCACTGTCCACCTCATGACGGCTAACGTTTTTGCTCCCCCTTAGGGGGGGCGGCCAGCAAAGCACACATTTTTCCCAGGACACAATTTGACACGTCAAAGAAGAAAAAAGGACATAGTGGAAAGTTGATAAGGGCTGAACTCCACGTAGAAGCTTCACTTTCAGGGTCCTGATATCGCAAATGGGGCCTCAGCCTGAGAAGCGACCCACCTGTGCCTTTCCCTCTGCGACAAGTCCAAATGTCTGCTGCTAAATAAGGAGATTGAAAGGAGTAAAAAAGAGCTTTCAGCGGGTGGGCTGACGGGTGCATTCAATAACCAATTCATGTAAAAGTGCAAATGACTTCTCATCGGCTGACGGCAACAAAGTGGAGAAAGTTCACCAGACCAGGAATTTGTTCTAAAAGAAAATCGGCTACCGATGTAAAAATGCAAACCCTGCCATGACCCCTGTTGTTCCTTTTAGCAAAAAAAAAATAGAATGTATTTAAAGTGGTAACATAAAAGCTGATTTTTTTTTAATTCAAAGTGACGGTGATGATACGGAAAGCAGCGGGTACTTACACAACCAGATGATCTGAATCTCTCCACTTCAACCTGATACAAGACGAATAAATATGCCAATGAGGGATCTGAACAGCTGCAAACCCCGACTACATGAAACCTTTCAATTTAGCTTCTTCAACATCATTTCTCCATGCCGCTGATGTATTTCCCAGGTTGTTAATGGCAACACAAGCCTTTTTCTCTCAGAAAAGTGGCTCTGGCCCCTAAGCTGTTTCATATGATTCTCACGCGACCGTACAGATCCGTATAAAGCTGCTGTCTGCAGGGGCAGCAGAGATTAAAGAGGAAAAAATGATACAAATCCCCTCCACTATTCAAACAAAGACCATTAAATGGCAAAACAAGTCAGAGATAAATAAGTGCTTCTTGTTGATTCCTTATTCATCGCACTCTGAGCTTTGCCTGAGAGCTGAACGCTACAATATCTGCTGTTCGTGTTTTAAACAAGTGCGCCGCCATCGTGGGGAAAGGGAACTACACGTCCCAAAGTGGCTCCAACCGGGCGAGTTGAGACAAAGGCAAACATCACGGAGCGCAAGGTGTACAAAGAGGGCGGGTGTGACCTCCGAGGTTGACCCCACCCAAAAAACACAGTGAGCGTGAAGATCAGGGCCCGTTCACGCCTGAAGGCCTGAGCCGATGCTCGCGGTGCAGCCGGCTTTTGTTTGTGTACGTTGGAATCCTGTTTGGTTTGGTTGTCGGGTCGCGCGGCGGCACCGCGGGGCTTTTATTTGCCCCCGCTCACACTTCATTGCAACGAGGCGCATGCCGTTAACATGGTATCCAGCTGGACGCGATGCCAAGGAAGGCTCCTCCAGCACTTCCCGCCTCTCTCTACCGGCCGGCGTCTCCTAAGCGGTCATTCCGACAGTGGCGAGGCCACGCAGGGATGCGTCACCGGGGCCGGCGGACAGGACGTGAGCTCACCACAGGCTCAACAAGCAGGTACACATGTTTACAGACACGGGGCTGCTGTTGCTGCGTGGGCAACCGCCCCGTACTGCCGCTGCAAAAGAACAGAGGAAAAACCCAAACGGCGGTGAGGGTAGTCATTTTGTCACGCCGAGCCAGCAACCCTTTGATCAGGAGTAGCGGTTCTGTGGAACGGGTCACGCGGCAGGTCTCGGGGGCCCGCCTGATAAACGGCACCCATCACAGCCGACTACGCAGGTCGGGGGGGGGGTTGAGGTTTAAATTTTCACACACCCCGGTTCCCCCAAACCAGCAAAACTTCGCGAGCGCCACGTGAAATTCCACTTTCTCGTAGCTCCGGGGGGAACTGGTCGGATGCTGCATGTGTAACGGAGGCCGGCGAGCCTGGAAGTGTGTTCCTGGTTGTAGAGGGGAAGAGTCAACACAACAAGCAGCTGACCAGCACACTGCGCAGACGGCAAAACAGAGCGATGCTTACCGTCGGCCACAAGTAAGCCTGCAGCAAAGACAACAGGAGCACCGGCGCTGACTTAAGTAACAGGTTGAATGTCTTTGAGGCTTTTGAGTCAAGTGACTAGTTTGGAGAGGGAGGAGGGGAGGCGCAGGCTGGGAATGTGTGTGTGTCTGCATGTTTGAGCAGACAGGGAGCACCTGACCAGCTACACAGTGTGTGTAAGTGTACTGTGGTGAGCTTAGTCAACCCGCTATGGGGTTTTTACCCTGATGTAATATCAGCAACTTGAAGTCAAAGATACCAAAAGTGTATTAAAACTGTGAGTGCTGGTCTGGACTGAACCGATGCTTCACGTGGAAAGAAATATGTCAGCTAGCATGACTCAAAGATGCATGTGTCATGTCATAGAAACAGCAGGGGTGTGGGAATGGTGTTGCGTGTGAAGCAGATTGTAATCATGGTGAGAACAAAAAAAAAAAAGAAAGATCAATGTTTAGGCAGTTCTTATAAGAAACATGCAGATGGAAACAGGGACAGTGTCATGGTATTTTAATGATTTGGGCTTTTAAAGGGGAACTTGAAAGTGGGTCCCAAATCACGGACTGACTTTGAACATCCTGTAAGCTCCTGCCGACACCGGCACGGAATCAGCCAATAACATGTACGCAAAGACAACAAAGAACAGTTATTGAAAATCTAAAGAAATGGAGCCCTGAGACTTCTTTCTAGCATCAGCACGGGTCACGATGAGAACGCCTTCCTACGATCACGTTGTCCTCAGTGGAAGCAAAACAACAGAAAGTCCCAGCACAATTCCCACGTCCAGACAAACGGGTGTAATCCCGCGTTCGGTGCGTCTGCTTTCTCCGTATCACAGCACACCGACAAATAAGTAGCAAAACAATGTGGAATCAGAACCGTGGTGGGTTTCCTATCCGCATATTGAAGGACCACTTTAAATCTTTAGTCAAAACCCACCAATATCTAAGACAGCGAGCATATTTTATACATGTAAGACAAAGTCGGTTGCATTGTAATTCACGGATAAAAATATCCCGAGTTCCCCTCTTTAACGGTTCGCTGAGCCTCGATTTTCCTTTTATAAAACTCAATAACGAACAGTAAGTGCACTTTTGGGGGCCGTTAACTCGATTAAAAGGCAAAACGTCCCTTACAGGCTCAGCATTGTGAGAGTTTTAATGGCAAAGGGGTTTAAGTTTTGGGAACATTAGGATTGACTCTTCTCTCACATTGAATCTCTCACGAGCTGCGGTGGCGTGCTGGGGGGGGCTAACGGGGGCTTCTTGAGGACGCGGCCTTTGGGGACAACGTTAACTTATCGGCTGCCACTGCCTTTGAGTGCGGCACACGCGTGACCGACCCGCATGCGTCAACAGTGCAACGAGCTCGGAAAACAACACACAGAGACACTGACTTCATTCTCTGGTCAGGTAGACGGGACTCCACTCTATATTTTCACGTAGCTTAATAGCTGTTTGCTGCTTTATTACGTGTGCCGATTGCTCCTTTAGCCGTGATTTCAAGCTGTCAGCTGCAATCATAGAGCCTTACTGGTGTGTTGTAAACAGCGTTCCGTAATGCAGCTCAACTCGAAGAGGAATTGCACCAATATCACACAAAAGGTCAGTGTACAAGTCATGTTGACTACTGCTCAGCCTGTGGACGTGGTTTTGGAAAAAACAGCTCCAACTGAGCCGCTGGTCTTGCATCATGTGAGTTAAGAACAGTAAAGTACTGAAAACATAACGGAGCCGTTATCCTCAGCGGTGTAGAAAACCTGCGGTATTCATCCACCCGGAGGATGTGGAGGCCCAGATTGCAAACATATATCAACACTGAATATTGTGCGTTATATTATATTAAATGTTGTATTAGGCTGAGGTTAAAGAGAAAGAACGGTGATGACAGGATGTTCCACACAGAACATTTCAACTGGTTCCAACAGATACAAGTTCTCCTCTGCACTTGTCATTTTGCAGTACTGTTCATTACCTCTTAACGAATATTAAAGTGTGTAAACAAGCATTATATATTACATATGGCTTGTTAACAGAAGCCATCCATTACTTTAACAAGGCAGGGCCAAAATAAAAGCTACACAACTTGCTGCATATTTTGAGCAAGGCTTAAATGTGGTTTAATTATGTGGTTTATTTCAGTAGCAGGATCTCAAAATGACATTTGTGTAAATGGAAAGGGATATAATGAATGATTTGCACTGTGGAAGTCACTGGGTATAATACATGATATATATGAGGGGAAAGTAAATACAACTTGATGCACATCTGAATATAATTTCTCTAATTCTGAAGGTTCAGAAAAATAATCAAAAAAGGATCATACGAGGACATTTTAGGGAACACGCGGCGTACGTTCATTCGGTCTTTCAAAATATGAGGTCAGGATTAAATTCTCCACAGACACGTAAATACTGCAGTTTAGTTTAGGTTGACTGGACAATGGGGAACATAGTTACTGCAAAGGATTCAACATTTCACAACATGCATTTTGGGCCTCTTTTTTACCAATAGTCATGTACTAATGGTGGTGTAAAGCTCCTCTCACACCAGCACACTGGTTTAAAACGGCCCACGGTTTATTGAATCAGCAGGGACATTAAGCATTGATTACAAATTGACATATGACCAAAAACGGTCAGCGTAGTGTGTCCGTCCAATGAGGGGCGTGAAAATACACTGAGTGAAGAAGAACGATGCTGTTATTATAAGCAACTCGCGTCACCCGCGTTTAGTCTCGATTTGAATGCAGCGGTCACGTTACGGACGCGGTGCCGCACATCAGTCACCGTAGCGGGCTTATCCACCGCACGTGGCGCGCACAACGCGCCTCGCTTTCTCGTCCTTGAGAACGCGGCGGTGTTTAAAAGTCGTCAAAACGCGTTCACCCGCGCCACGCGAGCTGGTCGCCATTGTCCGTCGCGAGCCGGAGGCTCGAGAACCGCCGGCCGTTGGTTCGGGTCAAGAGCCGCTCCTCTCAGACGGGCTAATGCTAACGCTAACGCTAACCCGAGCAGGACGGGAACGGCTCGCCCGGGCTAACGTTAGCTAGCAAACGACTCGCGGGGGATATTGGCTCGCAGCCTGAAGAGAGCGACGCTAGTAAAATGTCGCCTGAGGTTCCGTAACACATGCTCACGGTAGCGGTTAGTAACATCTACACGTCGCGGGGAAGGCTGCCCGAGTCCATGTTGTGGGAGTGAATGACAACAAATGGGTTTTTATAGTTACCTCACTCGAGTGCCGTGTGCATCTCCTCTCCGCTCGGTACCAAAAAAAAAAAAGGAAAGCCTGGCTTACGTCAGCGCACGAAAGGCCAGTGATTCACCAACGCGTCTAGCGAACTTTGCGTAGTATCGCGGATGAACGAACTACCAGTCTGCGCTATGTGCGCACAGCACTGAGAGATCAGCGACGGCTCTTTTCCGCCAGATTGTTTGTGCGCTGTCATATGACCGGCTGAGGAAATGATGTTTAGAGGATCAGACCGGTTCCAGGCGAGGATGAGCAAATTCCCCTGATGCGTCATCAAGACAGTTTATCACAACATGAAGATGAAGTGTTGTGCCTGGCTGACGCTTTACTTCATGCCTTCAAAAAGTACACCAGAGGTTCCTTTTTAAATCTGTATTGTTGCAATTGAGCCATTTAATTTCGATTGAAAACCGAAATTTGTTTTCATTTTCATCTTGTGACATATGAAGGTGGTAAATAAAGAGTAGACTGAACTATAAATACACTATTATCGGCTCTACTTGAATAAGATGAAATACCGCAAGGTAACACACAAATAGTAAAAGAGAAATGAGTTGCAATCATAATGAGGACACAATGAAAAAAGACAATACGTACGTACTGCGATCCATAAACCAGGAAGGAAAGAGGAGCTATGCTTTCTATCCAGCTGAATCAGACCTCTTTCCTGTGTCGCTTCCTCATTTGCTCAAAGTTTTCAATCAAGACACATTTATAGTGTCAGTACAAGGTCTGCCGTACTGTTTTTATACATACGTGAGGAGACGCTTTACAGAAATTGACAACTCTATTGGGATTAGAAACAAACGGTGTTTTAGGAAATTTTACAATACTGTCTGAAAAAATGACAAGAAAATAAGAAGGAACCTTTGGTGCTTTGTTTCATCATAAAGAACCACAAACTAGAATCAGAAATATCTTTGTCATGTTAATCCTGAACATTGTAGGTTTTTTCTGGGTTTGTAATCTGCGTTTCACTTTGAATGCTAACCATCCATATACCTGTAAATGCTTTAAAAGTTTGTTATTGGTGCTTGTTTTACTGCCAGTGTGTTGCAGGTAAAGACAACTGTTTTTAGTGAAGCAAGAAAGGACATTTTAAATAATCAATATATTCAATTGAATGAGAAAGTGTGTCCAAGCTTTTGTCTGGCACTGTATATTGAATACATACAGTAGACGGTTTTAGGGATGAATCTAAAACAGTCTAACATTGATTTTATACAGAAGTTTGAAGTTTAAAAAGTTTTTGCTTTACTTCTGTTGGAGCCTCTCGCTGGCTTTCACACACAAAACCAGCAAAGCAAGAGCCTACGCGTCCCAACAACCCACCACATCCTCCATCACACCGCCTCTCTCGATTCTGGAGAGGGACGTTAATAGGAAAGCAGCCGGCCCAGACTCTGTCTCTCCCTCCATCCTGAAGCATTGTGCCTATCAACTGTCTCTTCTCCCTGTACACAAACAGCGGCACCTCCAGTCACCACTCCGCCAAACTCAAAACATAATTTGGCATATGACACCACCCTCTGGTGCGGATGAGTCCGATGAGGGTCGAAGATTGACCAACTGGTGATGTGGTGCGGATGTAACACATGGAGCTCAACGCTCCAAAGACAGCGTTGGTAGTTGTGGAACGGAACGCAGGCCCACCTTCCCGCATCACCATTGGTTATTTGCCTGTTACCGCTGAGCAGTGCCTCTGCTCCATCCTTCATATCACAAGACCTCGAGTGGGTGCTGGACATCGGCTTCTTCACTAAGGCTCAGCAGAGGACGTACTTCCTCAGGCAGCTGAAGAAATTCAACCTGCCAAAGTTAATGATGATGGAATTTGACACCAATTGAGTCCATCCTCTGCTCCTCCATCACCGTCTGCTACGCTGCAGCCACAGCCAAGGACAAGGGCAGGCTGCAGCGTGTCATTCGCTCTGCAGAGAGGGTGATCGGCTTGTAGCCATCCCCTCTCACCCCGGACACAAACTTTCTGAGGCAAGAGGCTGGGGTCCATCAGGACCAAGACCTTCCGCCACAGAAACAGCTTCCTCCCCTCAGTTGAGTCAGAGTCATTGACTCAAACACTATGTCCCCCGGACATTTGCACAGCAGTTTCTCACCATCAAAATATATCTAAATACATATGTTTTAACATATCCGTATGTATTGTTCAATTTTGCTTCCATTCTTGTATAGCACCGATCACCTAGACAATTTCCTGTATGTGCAACACAAGTGGCTTCTGATTGTTCAACATACTCAAATCATGAATACGAATCTAATTGTTTTTTGTCAACTTATCAAGATATTATTGTGGTGTTTACCTTTGCACATTAATGAATGTGAAGCGAACATTCATAACAAAATTCTACAAAAACACTATTATACCAATATCAGGATGAATATGATTTTTGTGTAACACTAAGTGTTTCAGTGGTTGATCGTCTCTGTTGCGTTTACCTTCGATCTCCATCCATCTTCAAACCGCTTTATATTTAAGCAGTCAATTATTTCATATGCATTGCTCCCAGAAATCCATCAACCGTTGAAACTTCTATTATGCAGTGCGGTAGCAAAAAAACACTCACCTTCACTGTCTACATATAGGTGGCTGAAAAGTGTGTGTGTGTGTGGACAGGCGAGTATGAAGCACTTGGACATTCTGAGCAGAGACAGCCTCCCGCCAGCTAAGTCCACCTCCCAGCTCCTCCCCACTCCCGTTCTCAAGTCGGCTGTCCATCCTAATCACAGAGCGATTAATATCAAGTGATTGGTGGCCGAGGTTCCCACTTTGCGTTCCAGTCATGGGGTCCCGGCCGATCGTAGAGCAACGGTGGAACTGCCATTGTGGCTTTGGCTGTCATTTAGCCAGTGCCCGGCCCCGGCAGACGGAGGATGAAAATTGCCAACAGCCGCATTGAAATATGAGCTCGACTCAGCCCCGGCCGTATACGCGCCTACACCCCGGCACGGGGAGCCATTTCCTGCAGAAATGCCTCTTGGTGCAAATTACTGAGGTAATATTTCCTGCAATGCAACTTGAGTGGTTATGGTCTGCAGGCAATCTACCTGACGCAGCTTTTGCCTCGCGAAGAGACGACGGGGGTGAGAGACGACTCCTGCTGAAATTGCCCTTTTTATCGCACGGCGGTTAAAAGGTGCGAGGTGATTCTCGATGAGCACAACAAGTACGACTCTGCACACCGGCCCGAGGCCTCGCAGGCTTGAATGGCCATCGTGTTCATAATTACCGACACAAGTGAAATTCTACATTTCAGTCATTTGCACTATTTTATTACCAGAGTCGATGTAGAGTCTCAAAGGTCGTCCGTATTGAATGGGTCCTTCAACAAGATGGAAATAGGCATTGGCGATACTGTGTGTGTGTGTGTGTGTTGTCTTGGGCGACATCGTGCTGATGCAGAGTAATATTGGGACCCCAGCAGACCCGCTGGCGCTCAACCCTGGAGGGCAGCCAAAGACAGAGAGACAATGAGACGGAGAGGGGAGACGGCAAGTGACAAGTTTTAAATATCAGCTCATTAGCCACCTGTAAACCCGTCTAATGAGCCTTCATGGATTTTTCATTCCCTTTAATTGGGTGAGGTTGGAGAAAGGCGAGTGCAATGGCTTGTTTCCCCTCAGGTTTGTTGTACTTTGCCAAGCTATAACACCACACATGCTCACACACACACAATTACTACTCTGTTCGCCAAGCAACACCCACCCTCCCCAAGCTCTCACATCCTGGATCGATGGGAGCACAGCGAGAGCGCCCAACAATCTCCATCAGGGTTGCTGTTGCTTCACATGAATATCCACTGATGAGGTTTGAGGACTACCTCGCAGTATTACAATTCAACGTGCACAAAAATGATGACTGTGATCCTACATTCATTTTCTTTTTCCATTATCCTATTACAGCATACACCAATCTTATTATATTCAATAATTACACCGTGCAATTACACTCTTCTCGCACAGCCCCTTTAAAGATCGCTGGCTTTGAATCCTGATGTCCGGGCATTGAGATTCTACAGCATCAGTGCTGTGGACAGCCGGGTATAACAGGTGTGTTGCTAATGTGTAAAGATTGACAGGTTTGTTTGGCCACTTGGGGGGCAGTCTGACATATTATGACCCGATAAATCTGTTATGGGCCGCGTGTTAGCAAGTCCATCCATTAAAGCAAAAAGAGGACGCAGTGAGCCATTCATTACTGTTGATGCTTATCTGAAGCTGAACTTAAGCCTTAAACCGCACAACGGAAATCTACAGACATAACAAAAGGCTTGCCAGCTTGACTATAAACTACATGAAAGGGTACTGTAGGTCTAGTACCTAAAAATGTTATTCACTGCTCCTTCAAGCACAGTAAGGGCAAATTTCTTCACAAAAAAAAGGGAACATTTTACTCCACCAAACCAAATCCTGTATTTTTCCACACACAGAGCCTGTCATTCCTGACAGCCCTGACATTTTCCTCAAATTCAGCCGCTGCTCCTCCTGTCAATAGTAGCTTTGTAACTATTTCTCCCACTCTGAGATCTTACAGAGGAAAAATGAGTCGCGTTCAAAAGGCTCCCTGCGGAGAAACATAATTTCAAAGGTGCTCAAAATCTCACGTCTACACACGAGGCCGATCAAAGTGAAATGTGTTTCATTTGCTTTCGGTGACGTGACCGAGATGAAAGGAAGCGCTTGGTGACATTGTGCTTTCTATTATGCTGTGTGACAAGAGAATGTACGCTTTCCTTGCCGTCTTGTACTTGTTGGAGAATGTTGTTTCTTCTGTATTATGAGTCAATGGAATCATTTTCAAAAATCTGCCGCGTTTCTGATGAAATTAAACTTCTCGCGAATGGTTCCACGGCCTGCCCCTTGATTTCATCTGGTGCTTGGTTGATGAAACCGCGGTTATTCTACTGTGCA